CAAAATTTATAGCACCCTAGCAATGTTTCGAAGTGCAATACTTCCTATGGTGAAATTCTACAGTGGGGGAAATTGCTGGGTAAGGAATCAAAATCTGCTTCAAAGGAGGAGTGTGCCAAACACACCAGAGGTGGAAATGCCTTCCTGCTTTTCTGAAAAATTCCAGAGAGCCTTGCATTAGCTCTGCTTTTATTTTAGCCTTGCCTTGATAGAAAATGCAATCAGAATAACACAGCCAAAATGACGGGAGACAAATGTTTTTCTAGAGGTAAAAGACAAAACCAAAATCAACACTAAGTCAATGTACAAATGAATCTCCCACTATGATAAAACACTAAGGCAACAGAACAGTAGATTAAGATTCAAACTTGGGATAGTGCCAGCATGCCCTTGCGGGCCAAGGAGAGCCAGCCAGGTGATTCACCTCGCCACCCCACCTCTGGGAGGCACCCGTGCTCCTTCTTCCACACGCTGGACACCTAGCTGGCCGGGACCACAGGGAAGGCGAGGACAAGGATGTCAAGGGTAACTGGGATGATGATGATGATGATGATGATGATGATGATGATGATGATGAAGAGGAAACAAAAGAAGCAGCAGAAGTAAAACCAGAAATAAAAATTTCAGAAAAGAAAGAAAAATAGTGGAGAAAATAAAAGAAAAAAGAACGACACCAGAAGAAAAGGCAAGAAGAAATTAAAAAGAGATGAGAAGAACCTGAGGTACCTCAAATAGTAACACCAGAAGAACAATTAGCAGATAAACTGCAGCTACAGAAACTACAGGAAGAGTCAGACCTTGTACTAGCAAAAGAAACGTTTGGTGTGAATGATACAGTTTGTGGGATAGATGTAATGAACCCATCTTCAAGAGCTGATCTCACAGAATTTGGGAAGTTACTAAAAGATAAAATTACACAGGATGAAAAGTCATTCTATTATGCCACGTTTTTGAAAGCCTTAGTTCGAGATGTGTGAATTTTGTTGGAAATTGATGACTTGGCAAAGATGACCAATTCATTGACTGTGCTTTTCGGTGAGAATACATAGGCAAGAAAAGCAAAGCAAAGCCAAAAAGAAGAAGAAAGGCGTGGTTCCTGGAGGGGGATTAAAGGCCACCTTGGAAGATGATCTGGCAGATGATGGTGGTTGTGATGGAGGATATGTACAAGACTATGAAGACTCCATGTGACAGTTTCTCTCTCCTTGTGACTTGTTTCTGTTGCCCACAATCCATTCAACATGTAGCACAACTTCTTTTCCTTTCACTTCTGCCAAATGCGACAATCAGAAGTGCCGTATCTTTCCTGCTGGTTATTTAACACCTTGATACTTAGGTGCTAATGCCTAATGAGGGAACTTGGATCTTGCTGCCCAGGCATTAAAATTGGGAACTGAAGTTGCTACTAAATCATAGTTTAAAAACAAAACAACCTAATAATGCCATTGTTGCTGTCTAATCCCATAGCAACTGTCACTAAATTGGAAACAAAGGTTACAACGTGATAAAAAAAATTTTTGTGATATTTACCAGCACTGTTCAGTAATACAGCTTTAATCATACCTCCTTGAAAGGACTACATACTTGTCAAGAAAAGCAGTTTGCAGCCAGGGAATGTGGTGTGCATCTAGTATTCAAATTGCGTAGTCTAAGAATTGAGCATGAGGATATTACATATATTGTGAAGAAGATTATCTCAGAGTGAAGATACTGTGACTGAAAAGTACTGGTTTGACACTTAAAATTTTAATGACCAAAACCCCCTCTGAAGCTGAAGAAGGTAAACCTCTCTGTTATCACAGGACAAGTTATGGAATCTCAGTGTACAGACTGTCTAAGTTTTATGTATCATAATATAGCTACTGAGGGAGGGAAACTACCTGTTTTTATTTACTTGATTCAAGTGTCTGAGAAACAATCTCTTGTCTCCTAAGCTGCAATGAAATAACTTTTTTTTAGTCGGTTGTGGGGCTAGATTCTTGGGTGCTGTCCCTGGGCTCTTCAGCTCAAGATGATTGCTCTACCGCTTTAGCCACAGCACCACTTCTGCTTTTCTGGTGATTATTTGGAGATAAGTGTCTCACGGACTTTTCTGCCTGGGCTGTCTTTGAACCGTGATCCTCAGATCTCAGCCTCATCAATAGCTAGGATTACAGGTGTGAGCCACCCCCACGCAGCTTAAAATAAGTTTTAACAGGGTTTTGGCATTTCCTTTTCTATATAAAACATGCTCAGCAAGCTGCATGTTTGGTAAATTGTTATTTAACAATTATGACATCTGCAATGTTTTATAAAGCAACTAATTTAATAAAATCACTACTGTGACGACTTAAAAGAGAAGGTTCAAACTAGGGATAACATTACCCATTTCCCCTATTCAATGATGACAAGAATAAAAGTGAGGAAAATGCCAGAGCCCCTCAAAAGATCCAGAAAATCAACCATGCAATAGGTTCAGTAGGCGTAAGTGATGAACATTTTTATCATGCAGAAATGGTAAGGTTATCGTTGCCATGATAAAAAAAAAAAATCTATGTGATGTCCAGACGTATCAGGCCTCTGGGTAAGAACGTAAGGTAAGTACTGAAAATTTTCCATTGTTGTTGGATGAGTCCAATGACGTTCTGTTTGGACAGTTTGATTGTCCATTATGAAAATTAAAATGTGAACAAATGTAACAGTGGTACTCAGTAGACTCTGTGGATAATGCACTATGCAATTTGTGGGTGGTAATGGGATGCAAAAACTTGGAGGGAAGCAATAACATTGTCAAAAAATAAATATACTGATTACCTGAGTCGTGAAATGGTAACCTGTCTGTACATTACATTTATAATGACAATAAAAAATAATAATGAAGCCTGGCACCAGTAGCTCATGCCTGTATTCCTACTCAGGAGGCTGAGATCTGAGGAACAAGTTTCAAAGCCAGGCTGGGCATGAAAATCTGTAAGACCCTTATCTCTAATAAACGACTCAGAAAACCAGAAGTGACCTGTGGCTCAAGGAGTAGAGTGCTTGCCTTGAGCTGAAGAGCTGAGGGACAGCACCCTGGGCCAGAGTTCAAGCCACTCAACCGACTATATATATATATTTATCTAATGACAATTAAAATGATAAAAATTGGGAAGAATGCAATACTTATTTCTATCATTCACACAATCTATAAGATATAAGAAAGACATCTGATAGGGAGCTGGGTGTGGGTGACTCACACGTGTGATCCTAGTTATTCAGGAGGATGAGACCTAGGGACCATGGTTGGAAGCCAAACTTGGTAGTAAAGACTGTGAGACTCTTATCTCCAATAAACTATAACACAAGCTGGAAGCAGAACTGGGGCTCATGTTGTAGAGTCCAAGCTTTGAGCATGACAGCACGGAGACAGCGCCCAGGCCCTGACTTCAAGCCCCAGGACCAGAATAAACAAACAAACAAATGAACAAATGACATTTTTGGGGCTTTCCAGGGTCACTGCAGAGAGTCAGTCCCAATTAGGTTTCTGTGTTCCTGGATGAAATCATTTGTGTAACTTCATTTCAAATCACAACATGTATAGCAGACAATAGCCAGAGGAAATGGGATAATGAAAAGTTTTCTGACCTCTTCCTCCCTAGTGGTCTCCTCAGGGCTGAGAGCTGGCTCACAAGGCTTTCTTGAGGCACTCTGACATCCTGGAAAGGCTGAGTCTGGCCAGGTTAGACTTTAGAGAAGGCTTGGGATAAGGAGGCTTCTCGTTATTGATGTCTGGACGTCAATCAGTGTCACCTGCTGCCTGGCTGGCATTGTTTACTGGACATCCATCAAATCTTCCCACAGGAGCTGCAAACCACTCTCCCAGGGGTCAAGGAGCAAACATTAAGTTTATTAATTAGAAGAACACATTGCCATTTGAATTCATGTATTTTTTTCCAAGTCAAACTCATCGGAAAGTAAACTTCAGGGTGCAGTTGGTTATTAAACTTTGATTCTCAGAGCCCTGGACCCAGAATATCAAGTATTGATGGGCTCAATTGCTCAACCAAAGGATATAGAGCCGCAGATGGACCAAAAAACAAGACTCAAGGTCTGGGAAGGTGGCTCAGTGGTACAGTGCTTGCCTTACATGATTGAGGCCCTGGGTTTGATTCCTCAGCATCACATAAGCAGAAAAAAAAAGGTGCAGAGTGAGGAACCAAACTCAACCATTAGTTGTCTCCCAGAAACTCATTTTGCAGGCAAAGAAAAATACAACTTCGGTGTGCAAGGACAGAAAAAGATCCTTCATGAAACTGAATTTTCTTCAACACTAACATTCTACCACAGAACCACTTAGAGTTTTTTGTGTGAGTAATTGAGCTAAGAGTCTCATTGACTTTCCTGCCCAGAGTGGTTTAGAACACTGGTCCTCAGAGCTCAGAGCTCAGAACTCAGATTCCCAAGCAGCTGGGATATTAGGCATGAGCCACCCATGCCTGGCTGTGCATTATCGTGGACTACATCCTGGTTTGTCATTGGCTGTATCCCTCTTCCTCATTGGCTAGATGCTGCTTTGTCATTGTATGACCAACATTCATAGGATGATCTAATAAACTTCCTTGTAACAAACAGAACTGTTGGTAGAATTAGAATGTAAGGAAGAAATGAATAGTGTAGCAGTTGTTTTTATGCAGGCAGAAATACCTTTTTACTTTTAAGAGTGTACAGAAAATGTATTCATTTTATCCCACCAATAGTATTTTAAGCAACTAAATCAGACAAAACTTTTTGTAACATCCCTCACCAATACACACACCATAGTATCTCAGTGGTTTGAATGGTACCTCAGTCTTTGAAAGTTACAGTATATCTAAATTTGAACAGCACTTCAAGTGCTCAATACTCACATAGTTGCTTCCATGTACATTACTAGAATTTCCTCAGCTTTTGAACAAAAATTTCAGCTGTCCAATCAGCCCCTGAATGCTTGGTGACAACTGATAGCTCTCCATGAAAGAAACAGGGCACATGGGGAAAGCATTTTACTGTTCTTCAGGAGGAAAAAAACATGCTGATAGAATACAAACCATCACCTCCAGGATAGGGATTTTCACTTCTGTGTAAAAGTAATAGAAGTTGGTAATGTTGTTGAAGCAATAGAAACACAGGAAACAGCTGACCAACAGCAGGATGGTGTGGGTGGCCTTGCTCTTGGATGCTGGCTGGGTGGCAAGACTAAAACTATGTAGGTAATGAGCTATCTGGTGGTGTTGGCAGAGAAGCCTCACCATGTAGAGGCTGGTGATGATCATGAGGATTACAAACACAAGATCTTGAAATAATAAGATAGAGATATAATACCCTGATCTATTGTCTTCAAACTGCGGAGTACGCCAATATACATTGGAAAACGCAGAACCAACAAGAGTGAAATTGATTTTGGCTTTCATAACCTTAATGACTGGGACATAGATGAGCATATTGACAACCCAGAAGAACAAGAAAGAAGGGAAAATCCACACTGAAGACTTAGATTTATGCCACACACACTGGGCATGGCTGGAGCTGATGGTGATGGCCTGAAACGGACTGAGGATTGAGGTGGAACAGATGGATAGACCCAGGGTAACTCTGAAGAAGTATACCACCACCTTGCAGCCCACATCGTCCAGAAAAGATTGGACTCCAAATGATGCCACTATATTTGGCACAAGTGTGAAGGTGAGGTTCAGGATGTTGACCACAGTCATGTGTATGAAAATGGCATTGATGGGCTTCCTCAGATGACGCAGGAATGAAAACAAGTATAGATAGAGCATGGAGAGCACAGAGTTCCCCATGATACAGATGCACAGCTGGGCTATGAGGAAAAGCCCCCATATTGATTCGCCCAAGAACATTGTGAATGACATTGTAAGGTCTGATGTATAGAGCAGCAGGACAGTTGATACCAGATTGAAAAATCAGTGCATTAGATTATTGATCCTTGCTAAATGGTTCTTCAGGAAGAATATGAGGACGATGAAAATCAGTTTCAAGCCCAGGAGTGACACTTCTGGAAGGGTATCTCAAAGGTTCCAGAGGATCTTTGAGTCCAGAAACTGATGAGATTATAGGAGGGAAACCCTGGCTGACACCATGGGTCCTAGTGCCTTTGCTAGGAGAACTGTGGGCCTGTGGTACACAGAAATTTGCATAGTATAAGAAATTTTCTTTGCTTGTTTGTGTGTGTATGCGCCCTTATTTGAAATGTTGCAGCATGATATCAGTGTTTGAATGATATCCTTTTGGTGTTTTATTCTTCTTCAAAGCTAAGAACTTCACCTCCATCTTTATGCTGATTAATTAGAGATAAGTCACAGAGACATACCTGCCAGGGTTGGCTTCATATCATGATCCTCACAACTCAACTCCCTGAGTAGCTAGGATTACAGGCACAAAGCTACCAGTGTCCAGCTACAATGTCTCATTTGAAAACACATCTAATCAGTAGTGCATGAGAAAGGTAAGGGACAGACTATTAGTTCAAGCTCCAGCATCCCCAAAGAAATGTTTACCATCCCAGGAAGACTACCAGGTGGAATTTTTCCTGTGGAGAAATTACAAACTGGGGAAAATTTCTGGGTAAATGTTTATAAAATAAGCTTCAAAAGAGGAGTAGGCAAAATATACCAGATGTGAACATGGTTTCACACACTCCCTGAAAACTCAATGAAGCATTGTACTGACCATGGTTCTATTTTAGCATGCCTTGATATGAAATGCAGTCATTATCATGTGACTCCAGAGATGAAATGCCAGTGTATTTCTGGAGGGAAATGACACAAATATCTACACAAACCACTCTTGCACTATGATAAAACACTGGGACAATGGAACAGGAGGCTAAGGTTCAAAGTAGGCTTCAGCTCTCCTATTTCCTCTACATGGTGATCACTGGAAGTGAGCAATATATAGCAAGAGACCTAGGAAATCTACCATGCAGTAGATTCAGTATATGTAAACGATGAATGTTTTGATCATGCAGAGATCTTGTTATCATTATCATGTTAAAAAAATCTATGATTTCCCTAGCATTGTATCTGTGGGTACTGAAATTTTTCCATTGAGGTTGGAGGAATAAAGTTACTTGCTGTTTGGAGAGTTTGGTGGTCATTATGTCAGTTAAAGGCTGAGAAAATGCATCATTCGAACTCATTTAGACACTATATGGAAAAGGAACTGCATAAGTTGTGGTTAGGACAGGATGGGAAAACTGGGAAAGCAGAGGTAAGGGTGACATTACCCATAAAGAAATGTACTGTTGAAGATGCACTGTGGCTCAAAGTAGCAGAGCGCAGCCTGGAGCTTAAAATCTCAGGGACAGCATGTGCACCCTGAGTGGAAGCCTTACAACAGACAGATATTTATCCTCATTTTTTGAGTTATGAAATAGTAACCCTGTATATTAGCTTTATAATAAAAATACAAAATAATAATGACAATTAAAATTATAAAAACCGAGAAGAGTGCAATTCTAAAATCCGTCATTTCACAGAAATGATAAGCTATAAGAAAAAAATCTGAGCAGGCCGCCAGTGGCTTACACCTGTAATCCTAGCTACTCAGGAGCTTCATATCTGAGGATCACAGTTTAAAGCCAGTCTGGGCAGGAAAGTCTGTGAGACTCCTATCTCCAATTAACTACCAGGACACTGGAAGTGGTGCTGTGGCTCAAGTGGTAGAGTGCTTGCTTTGAGCGGAGGAGCTTAGAGACAGAGCCCAGGCTCAGAGTTCAAGCTTCATGACTGACAAAAAAAAAAAAAGGAAGAAAAGAATAGGCTGGATAGGCTGGATAGGCTGCCTGTACCCAGCCTTGACTATGAACCATACCTGGGTGATTAGGCTTCTCCCAGTGGACATCAATCAGTGTCACCTGCTGTCTGGACGGCCTATTTACAGGGGGTCAATCTGATGTCCCCACAGGAGAGACAATCAGTCTCCCAGGTGCTGAAGGAATTGCTTAGAGAACATATTATGCTTATGGATTAGAATAATACAAGTCAAACTCATCAGAAAGTAAACTTCAGGACATAGCTGGTTATTTAAAGGTGGTTCCTACAGCCCTGGATGCATCCTGAGCTTGGAGCAGAACCCAGAATGCTCTCTGCCTTTCCCACTGGGCTTCGCCACCATGGGTGACCCTGTGCCCTGGCTCTGCAGAGTACAGCATCTGGTGCACCAGAGTTCAGGTACTACAGGACCCCACAGCACAGGGTTCATGAAGTTCCACATAAGATATGCTAGAAAGTTTTCTTTTCTCAAAGTCTCTGGATACACATTGAAAAACTAGGTAACAAAATAAGAACAGAAACTATCTCCTGTCTCAACAGACAGAATCTCACCCACAGAGACTTGTAGAACTTGTAGCAGTCAGGATCCCAGAAGCATGTCTCTAGACACATCAGAGTGAAACCATTGTACTTCAAGAACAAGAAACTATTTTTATTTTTATTTTTTTTGGGTCCGGTCATGGGGCCTGAACTCTGGGCTTAGACGCTGTCCCTCAGCTCTTCAGCTCAAGGCTAGCACTCTAGCACTTGAGCCACAGCACCACTTCTGGCTTTTTTTTTTTTTTTTGCTCATGTGCTGCTGAGAAATCGAACCCAGGGCCTCTGGCATGCAAGGCATGCGCTCTACCACTGAGCCACCTTCCCAGCACCAACAAACTCTTTTTAAATGAAGCAAAAACCGAAGGAAGAACTTTATTACAATGGAAAGAAGACAGTGTTACTGTAGATTTCTCCACACCAACTGTGAATGCAAGGAGAGCCCTTAGCTGTTTTGAAGGACAGTAATGGAAACCCAAACAGGGGCAACCAAGGAATGTAATAGTCACAATGGATGGTGTAAGGAAACTTTTCCATGAAAAACATAGAACAAGAATCCGTGAATGCCAAACCAGCACTACAAATCATAATAAAGAGAAGCTGACAATCTGAAAAGAATAGTCAAAGTCAAGGAAACAAAGCACTGAGTCAAAAGCTCTTGGAGAATAATAAATACAAGAAGAGGAAGGAAGCATACTGCAGGAAAACAACAAAATCTCAGGAAATGAGATTTTTTTTTGTCGGTCGTGGGGCTTGAACTCTGGGCCTCAGCGCTGCCCCTCAGCTCTTCAGCTCAAGGCTAGCCCTCTACCACTTGAGCCACAGCACCACTTCTCATTTTCTGGTGTTCACTGCAGATAAGAGTTTCAGGGACTTTCCTGCCCGGGCTGGCTTTGAATCTCATTCCTCAGATCTCAGCCTCCTGAGTAGTTAGGATTACAGGCATGAACCATTAGCACCCGGCATGAGACACATTTCTTTATAGATACCAATGGGCTCAACTCCCCAACCAAAAGAGGTAGAGTAGTAGATTGGACCAAAATACAAAACCCAAGAATTCACATGGCTTTTTGTTTTATTGTTTATGTCAGACTAGTGCCTGGACACTATCCCTTAGCTCTTCAACTCAAGATGAGCCATAATGCCACTTCGTTTTGTGGTGGTTAATTGGAGATAAGAGTCTCATGGACTTTGCTGCCCGGGCTGGCTTTGAACCAGGATCCTCAGAGCTCAGCCTCCTGAGTAGCTAGGATTACAGGTGTGAGTCACCAGCACCCAGTTAATCTAAATTTTGTTGTTTCCCACAAAGTCATTTCACAGTCAAAAGAAAAACACAAATTCCGAGTAAAAGCTTGGGCAAAGATATTTCATGAAAATGCTTCTTGTAAGAAAGGCCATGTAGCCATATATTTTTCTGACAAAATAGACTTCCCATTAACATCAGTATGAAGAGTCAAGGAAAGCCATTACATATTAACAAACAACATAATAAACAAAGAAGTAATTATATTGGTTAATATTTACATGCAATAACAATGGAGGACATAAATACATTGGAGAAATACTCTTACACTTACAGAACATGATAGACCCCAACACAACAATAGTGGGAAACTTTAACATCCCATTCTCACCAAAGGATATGTCAACCAAACAAAAGATCAGCAAAGAAGCTTCTGAATTAAATGTCCAAAGTATACAAGTAGACATCTACAGAGCATTTCACCCAACAATCACACAACTCACGTTCGAGTGGTGCATGGAACAATCTCCAAAACTGACCATATCTTAGGACACACAGCAAGCCTGAGCAAAACCAAAAGGATGGAGACCTCTTGGTGTCCTATCTGATCACAGTGGAATGAAACTGTTCATCAATAACGAAACACTGCAGAAAACTTCACACATATGAACAACAGGTGGGTCACTGAAGAAATAAAAGAGGAAATCAGAAAGGTCTTACGATTCAATGAACATGAAAACATATCATACGAGGGCCTTAAGGATACTACAAAAGCAGTATTGAGAGGAAACGTCATAGCACAAATTGTGCAAGTAAAGAACAGAGAAACAGTAGAAATGAATGACCTCATGATGCAACTAATGGTGCTTAAAAAAAACAGGAAAAAACCAAACACCAAACTACCAGATGGAGAGAGACAGTAAAGAATAGGAGTTCTGGGAAGGGGCTCAGTAGTAGAGTGCTTGCCTTGCTTGCATGAAGCCCTGGGTTTGATTCTCAGCACCATATAAGCAGAGAAAGCCAAAAGTGGTGCTGTGGCTGAAGTGATAGAGCCCAACCTTGAGCTGAAGAGCTGAAAGACAGCACCCAGGCCCAGAGTTCAGACCCCATGATAAAAAAAAAAAAAGAATAGGGAAGA